AAACACCTGGCTGAGGCCCCAAACGGAGCCCAACCAAGGACTAAAACCTGCGGCGCATATCGGTCTCAGGTAGTTTATTTGCTTTGGGCTTCCCTTTCAAACACACCCCAAGCAGGCTAAACAAAACCAACCAAAAAAGCGTAAACAAAACCGTCCCATTTGCTGATTTGTTTGCCAGCGTAGTGCTTCTCACATCATTTCATCCAGTTGCTTCCTGCACTTGTTGGCAACTTCTGAGGCATTGGCTAATTGGCTGGGAAAATAAGCGGGAGTCTGGGATTGTTCCTCCCCACTATCTGAGTGGGGGTTGACAAAACGGCAACCCTCTGTCAAGAACAACTTTCTCCCTTAGGGACCCAGAAATACAAGGTGATCACCTTTTGGGGCCATGACTAAAAGTGGAAACCAAGAGGAGGAACCCCAAAAGGTCACAAGGTCAGCTCCGGGCAAGTGAGCTTTTGATTGGGCCGGGCTTTGGCTTTTTCTTTGTTTTTTTGGTCAGAAGGGACAATGGAGGAAAAGCAAAAAGTGAAAAGCTCCAAGCAAAACTGTTCGGGGGCCTCAATATTTACCGCTACAATCAGAGTGGGCCGGGCTCCCCGAACTCCAAGCTGATGAAACGGGTGCGGCCTCCGGGACTCGGAACCCCCAAAACTGGGCCTGGTGGCCCTTCGGTGTCTCGAGAAAGACCGGCGAAAAAAGGGGCACCAGCTCCAAAAAGGACGAGGCACCCAACTCCAACCCCCCCCCCCAACCCGACTCTCGCCTGCAGCCCGGGAGGGGGCGCCAGCGCGCGGCCCCGGCCCATGCCACGGCCCAGCATGGGGTTCTGGCGCCGCGGCGAGGGACGGACCCCCAAAGAGCCTTGCGTGTGGGTCAAAAATAGGGTCACCTCAAAATGGGCCAAGCTCTGGTAAATGGAAAGGATTAAAACCTGCGGTCCCCTCTTGCTAGGGGGTTGCCGTTGCCTGGAGGCTACCTCAGGCGATCTTTTTCGTTTTGGTACTTTTTTCTTGGTGGCTTTACAGGGAATCCACCAGGAAAGCCACCATTTTGGGGGGTAGCAACAAAAAGGACACACCCATTTAAGATGAATTTCAATAAGAACCCCCCTCAAAAGTGGTTGGGGATGCATGCAACCTAACTGATGTCTCCCAAAACGACTCGCCTGTAGAACCTTTCAACTCAGGAATGATGGCCATCCACCCATGAAAGCCTTTCACATCAAAAGACATCAACCTTCAGTTCTTGGCGGCGATGGCCCTTGGGGTGTCGACAAATCAACTCATGTCCAGTGTGTGATCCTATGCAACCGGGAGGTTGCATGTCTTCTCCTTTTTGACTGGCCGAGTGAGGGGTGATACAACTTTCACTGCAAAAACAGCTGGGGACAACGTAGCTGTCTCATTGCAACGGTTGCAATGGCCAGCACGTGCCGAAACACCCTGAGACCCCAGGCTAGTAAAGAAACATGTCGCGGGCCCAGGGCAGAGTCACATACTGATTGGATATGATTTTGAGTGTAAAGCTGTCCGTCCCAGCCTCTGCCGTCTGACAAGGAACACACAAAATAAATCACTTTTACAGAACCCGCCATCAAGTTTTCTATGGGTCCAAAAGAATGCGACACCCCAGCCTCAGAAAATCGGCCCAGTGGTCGACCTGAACAGCCGCGTGCACGGCAAGGGGTGGCAACAGGTGTGGAATACATTCTTGCAAGGGATGTCTAAGTTTGAGCCACACTGAGCCAAAAAACACACACAAATACGATATCTCTGTGGGTGTGTCTCCAAACAGGGGCACGGGTCCCGCCAATGCGCGGTTTCCCTGAGAAGCGACCACCCCCGCCCAAGAAAAAGGAGAAAGGTGTCGTGTTGGTTCAAAATAGGAAATTGCCCCGGTAGATTGTGAAACAACCAGGTCAACCAGTGGCCTAGCACTCGAGCAGCTTACGGATGTGAGGGCCCCCAGTGGTTGCTGTGCTGGTTAGCAGTGGCTTGCTTAGTTTACTTGTCAGCCAAGCAAGCCCCAGGGGGCACACCCGCAAGTGAAACCTCACAAAGAGGATAACCACTCGCTTTCAGTTGAAACCGCTGCCTCGGCCAAAGCCACGGTTGGTGTCAACGAAGAGGCCCGGGAGAAAGTCGTCCTCCACAAAGTTGTGCCCACAGACTCCGACTCTCACATAAAACGACATGAACCCAACATAGGTTTCGCAGAATCTCGCACATGCACATGCACATCATGATGCCGGTCCTCGGCTTCTTCTGCTGGAGATTCCTGCCGCACTGAAACCCCGGCTCAGTGCACAGTTTTCCACTCGGTGCTTCACCGGAGACTTCCAGCCTCCACGTTGCGTTGCCATAAAACCAAATCAACGCGAACAGTTTCATGGGGTTCCATTGTGGGGTTACTCTATTTTCAACGCAAACTCACTTTGCTTTGACTCACTTTGCATTGCCGTCAAGTCAAAGCAAAGCAACACTGAGCCTCCCCCCCAAAGCGCCAAGCTGGGTGCAATCTTCCCAGGCCTCCTGTGGGTGATTCTGGACAGGCCGCGGAGCTACCTGCACACAAGTGAAAGCCTTCAACAGGAGGCTGGCAACTCACCTTGAGGGCATCCAGAATCCTCAAGGATGAAGAGCGCGTTCGGCAAGGATGAAGCAAGGCCAAAGCAAAATCGCTTAGGTCAAAGGTGTCCTGCCCTGCTCTAAGGTGCCCCGTTGATGGCACCAGTGCACCCTTCAGGCCAATCTGATGTTTCCACACCATGCAAAAGAAAGGCCTGCCACCCTGCCGGGCGCCTTGTAGCACACTTAGCCATACCTTTTCAAACTACAAGTACCTTTTCGTGTCCGAGCGGAAGTATCAATGGGCGTTTCCTCACACGAACGGTCAAAGTCCAGCACGTTCGCAGCCTACGCCCCAACCTCGATGGCTGCGGCTTCCACTTCGGGAGCTGTGCCTTAGGGCACATGGGATCGTGGCGTGGCTCAACGCATCCTCATAGGTGTCCTTTTTGAGTGAAAATAGTTGGGTTGCCCTGGTTGATTGCACCAATTGGTAAACCAGTAACAAGGCCCAAAAAGGACACCTATGATCCTGCTTGTTGGGCTTCATCAAAGCTGGACCAGACAGTGGCTTCCCGCGAACAGCCCGCTTAACACTGGCCAGCCGTACGGCTGTCCAGCCAATTCACCTGAACACGTTCTCAGATGCACCTGTTTCAACATGTCTAGTTCACCATTGTCCTCCATTTGCCTAAGTCCACTGGAAAACGGACAAGTATTGCCAGCAGTGGCAGATTTCCTTCAAAACAAATAGGGGAAAACAAAACAGATTCGTAAGCAACTGGAAGTTGCTTTAAACCATCTCCTTTTCCTTTCCCTCCAAAGGGGACGAGAGCGTAAGCATCCCATCGACTGCTCTGGGCTCAGGCTCACTATGGGCTCAACTTCGGCTTCCTGCGCGGGCACCAATGTCCAAAACCCCCGCTTTTTATCGTAGGTGCCATGAACAGCCCTCGAAATATCGAGGGAAATCCGCCCCGCAACACCGGGCCTCTCTGAAACTGAAAGCACGGAGTCCCGACGGCCAAGAGGGCGAAAGTCAGTGCCCGGAAACTTGGAAATTGTTTTCTTCCTGTTAAACATTGGGATCACACCCATAAATTACTTGCTGGTGCGATAGCTAGGGAATAACCTTCCGTTTGTTGGAAATGAACCGGTTTTTGAGATTCCCTTAAAGGAAACCAGATGGCTTTTCTTGGGGGCATTCCATGTCTCATTCCCTGCCCGTCGAACCAGCCAAATTCTCACTTCGCGATTTTGCCCGGCGGAACTCCGCAGGACTCTTGTTTCCAGAGGTGCTCCGAAGACTCGACACGGCTGGAAAAAGACCACGGGGCGCAAGGCCAAAAAATTGAAACCCTCGAGGTTTGGGCATTCAGAAAGCTCGGGGCCCTGTTCCATGGAACTTCGCCTGAGCTCAAAAAAAGGGTGTCTCTTTTTGTCGTTGTCTTGGCCGGCACCCCTCCAACATGGCGGTTTTCCTGTTGGCTTCCCCTTACAACACGAAAACCAGATACCCCTGAAAAGAGACTGACTTACTTTTTAGTCTTGCACCACGTCAAGACTTCGAATGTCAACCCGCAACTGCCAGGCACAACACCTCCCCCTGGTCTTTGACAAAAATCACACACACACAGGCAAACGAAAACAACACACATTGACTCCCTTTGAATGCGTCGCAAGGCATTCCCGGCGTCAAAGACCAGCCTGCACTTCCTGCAGTGGTTTCGACCTGTCGGGTGGGACTAGCCACCAGCTCCCTCTGATCTAGACCAAAAAATCGGAGCTTCTCAGATGAGTTCACTCGGGTTCCAATTTGATTGATCCAGCTTTCCATCAGAGCCCCTCATCCATTTACTGGGTTTTTCATTGGCTCTAAAATGAGGTAACGCTGGGAATGCGAACAAAGCCCTTCGGACTCACCGGCTTTTTGGGGTGCCGTGGCCCTCAGCCCACACCGGGCAAAGCGAAGAAACTCGCCAGCTGGGTCCGCCCAGCTATTTTTTGAGGATACCCGTTCAGGAGTTGGTTTTTTCACGGGAAGCCAAAGGGAAGACCGAAATCCAGGGTCCACTAAAAAAGGACGAAACCAGACATTGCCCCAAGCTCTCAACAAACTTCCAACAACAAAAACAGGCTTCAATACCATCAAGTTGAGCTCTGTTGCAAGCTGTGTGTGTCCCCTGGTTTTTGACGGAACTTTAGTGAGTCCCATGTCCCTCCCACATGCACCATAGACAAAGCAGGACAGTTCGACCAAACCGCAACTGGACACAGAGCCGGGGATTTTTTCGCCGCATCCGAAACCACCGCGAGGCACCCCTTCTTCACAGCGGGCATGGTCACGCCAGCTGCCTGGATGCTGGTTCGATAGGCAACCCCCGCCACTCGTGGCTTCCTCTAAGGGGATCAAAATGGCTTCCCTTGTGAATCCCCCTTGACAGCTCGAAACTGACCTGACTTCCTTCCACACATACTATTCAAATATTGGGTCATGACTCGTCATGCTTTCCATTCCGAGGTGGCACAAGTCACTTTGCCAGTCCAGAGATCAGTGCTCAGTTTTCAGGGAGCAAGAGGTCCTAGATTCCATAGAAGGTTCCTTGCAAACCTTTCAGCCGTTGGCTTCCTCAGAGATTAAACTGGAGTCGATGTTTGTGGAGCATACAAGTCACATGTCACAACAAGAACTTGCATTGAACCTTTGGAAGCACTCCCGCATGTCGAGGCAATCAACACATGATGGCTCACGAAAAGGTTTAGATGCACAATGCATATGTCAGTTACATCTGGCATCGCAGCTGTATCGGGATTGTGCTGTTTAGGTGCCTTTCATTTGTAATTGGTGCAGGTTGACTGCTTGCCGCGGAGTTCCCAAAGCAAATGCCCATGCGTAAGAGCTGCCAAAATGGGATTGATCCCAACGAGCGCAAGGGGGATCTGGTCCTGTCGCTCTCCCTCTTTCTCTCTCGCGCTCTCTCCCTCTCTGCCTTTCTCCCTTCACATCGCTTCCTCTTGATGGAACAAATGGCTGTGAGTCAAAAAATATGTACCCAAAATGGAGCCCTAGTAAGTGGAAACACGGACTCAAACCTGCAATCCCCTGGTGCAATGTTGACCCATACCCAAATCAACACCTGAGTCACAATCACAACCCGGTATTAAACTGGTCTACCCAGAGCCATGTAAGGAATTAAGAAGGCGGATATCCGCAGCTATGGCGATCGTCCCGTACTAACCTTCTGCTCGAATCGGTTTTGAGGACGTGACTCACCTGGGCGGCTTCCCGATGAAAAACCACTCGGGCGCAGGCCGCCGCCAAGTCATCCACCGCCTCCCCGCGCGCCAGCGCCTACGGCGCGGCACGAAGAGACGTGAAAGTGCCATCTGGAGCCCGGTGGTGGTGGTGAAGGGGTTTCCATTCACCTTCCCCCTGAAACCAATCCCAAAAAAGAGCACCCACAAAGCAAAGACAGACCCTTGTTCAGAGTCTGCTTCATACTTAGTCAACCGAAATAAAACTAGAAAAGGAGGGAGCCTCCAGAAAACGACAAAAGACATGTGGGTCATGGTCAGGCTCAAGTTGTGATGCTTGAATTAGCTGTCCCCGTCATGCATTCAAACATAGTCGCAATCAGCAGGTCTAGCTCTTTCACATCCAGAGCTACCAGCCCAAAAGCCGCCCCTTTTCCATGATTCGGCATTGAACGTCTGCGCCGGCGCTTGCGCTGCCTGCAGTCTGCGAGTCTCTAAAGCTGCGAGTCGAGGTGTTCAATAGGGGTGTCGTGAAACATGGGAAAGGACTTCCCCTTCCCGTTTCCCTTGGGGCATTTTGCACATCGAAATTGAAACATGATTCCCCTTACCAACATGGAATCCATCAGTGTGTCTCTTGCATAAAGCGGCTGCTATGCAGCACCCAACCTCGCCACAGCTGAGGTACTGGCCTGATGCAAGTACTGCGCAGCCTCAGATCGACTCGGCTCCTAGGAGTTCTAAGGCTTCCGCATGAGTACATTCTGCCCAGCGCATTCCTTTTCTTCCCACTGAGGCTCAATCCCTCGGAACTGGCACTCGCCCACATGGATGATGGATGAGTGTATTTCTTTGGAGTTGGTACTCCTGTTGCAGCGGTGATCCAGGGAAACCAAAACGAACCCCACCAGCTTTGGCGGTCCCGTATTTGCAACACACACACACACAAACACCCACATGTCTTCTCAATTCATCCGTGGACTTGATCGTGATCATTCAATCTCGCCGAGTTGCCACATTTTGGCTGTTGCCAATCGCCCAGTGCAACGGCCTAGGCTGTGCGATGGCCATGGACCCTGACGCAGCTGACGTCCAAATTCAGTGTTCAGGCAAAGTCATTCAACATTCTCCCTCCTCCAAAACATGCTGATGCTTGGCAGGAAATGCGGGAATGACCCTTATAAACCATCCCTTGTGGTTTCCTTCAAGGAAATCCCTGGGTTCATTCCCACATTCCCTATTGAGCACCAGCAAGAAAACCAAGCCACAGCTGCTCCAATCTCTCAACCATCTCAACTTCGCCGGCAAGCAATGCCGTGCATTGACACTTAGACATGGGTCAAAATCCCGTACCTCCAGTGAACATCCCAATCCCCACCAAAATAGACTAACATGCGTGATGCACCTACCCCAAAATGGCACCTTTGGTTTTGACCCACAGCCACTTAGGAGTCACAACAAAAAGCGCCCGCTTGCTCCCGCAATCCGAGCTTTGAGCGTTGCTCCCGCAAAATCTCTCTGCGAAGTTGATGCCCGCAGCAGCAACAACTGGTGCCTGGAAAACAGCGGCGCCGGTCAACCCGAGTTGACGCGGAACCAATTTAGCGACACTTTCCACAACAAAGATGTCATCTCGCATGTCCACGGTTTGACTCTGCATCAACCTTGGCGATTGCTCAAAGTTGCCCTGCCGCTGCGAAATTTTAGAAATACAGCCGCGCAGCAACCCAAAGCCAGAAAGTGGAATCCTCTCGTGGGGGAGAAGTTGTTACGTGGAAAGCAACGAATGAACAAAAACCAGAACAATTGGCCCAACCAATGCTGCTTATGGCGTAGGAAACGGACCCCAAGCGAAAAAAAACAAACCTAGGGCGAACCTGCGCCACAAAACCTATTGACACGATGAAGGCATGGGGGGAGCCAGGAAAATCTGCAACCCCAGGCAATTGATCTGCATCGTTTGCAAAACATAGACAAAAATACACCAGCATAGACCCCAGATAGCACACCACGGCTACGAATCATGACGCGGCATCATAATGGTTCCCGCAGCATCATGATGATGTTGACGACATCTTGATGATGTTGACAGCATCATGAGGATACCACAGCTACTCAGCATAGTGCGCTAGACAAACGCGCAGACAACGTCCTAGTGAGTTCAGGATGATGCTGATACACCAGCCAAGAACGATTCCACGCTACATATCTGGCAGAAAAAGGGCAGAGACGACGTCCTGATGAGTTCGACAGCATCATGATGATGCGGACAGCATCATGATGATGCTCACAGCATCATGGTGATGGTAAAGGCAGCATCATGGTGATACCACAGCCACGAATCATCTTGTGACAGTGTAATGAAATTCAGCAACATCCTGATGTTGACAGCATTCTTCCGCCACCACACCCACAAACCATAATGCAGCATCGCAGCAATTGCAGCAGCATCATGACGTGGTTGACAACATCATGATGATACACCAGCCACGAACCATTACACGCGACAGTTCGAGCAAGCAACAACGTCCGAATCGGTGCGGCCAGCATCATGATGCTGCGGCCAGCATCATGATGCTGCGGCGAGAATCATGATGATGCGACAACCACGATACCCCAAACAGCACCCGCCCCAGCACCCCAACACCCCAAAACAGCAGCCCCAACAGCACCCCAACGCAGCACACGCGCCAGCACCGGACACGTCCCCAAGCACCCTGCCGTCACGTACTGTCACCAGCACCTCAACCGAACAGCGCCCCAGAACCGCACCTGCCCCAGTACCCCAAAGTGCATGCCCGCTAGCTCCCAGCCGTCGATCTTGCAAAACAATTCCCCTTCTTCATTAGAACTTAGCACCCCTATGGTTTCCAGTTATCTGGGAAATAAGCGCCCACGCGGTCACCTCCATCAGCAACCCAAAACAGCACCTGCACCACCACCCCAAACTGCATGCCCCCTAGCACCCGCCGGCAATGTCCGAAAATTGCGCCCACAACGCCAGCAGCACCTCAAAAAGCACCCTAAACAGTACCCCAAAACAGCTGCGTCAGCTCCCCAAACTGCATGCGGCCATCAATCTTGCAAAAATGCGCCTGCACCATCACCAGCGCGTCAAACAACATCCATCAGCGCCTCAAACAGCACAGGCACCAGCACCTCCACCAGCACCGCAAACTACATGGCCCCTATCGCCCAAAGCGGCGCCTCCACCAGCACCCAAAACTGCATGCCCCTTGCGCCCGGGCATCAAGCTCGCAAAACAGCACCTCCACCAACACCCCAAACTGCGTGCCCCCTAGCACCCTCGCAACACAGCACCTCAAACTGCACGCCCCCTAGCACCCAGCCGTCAATCTCGCAAAGCGGCACATCCACCAGCACCCCAAACTGCATGCCCCCTAGCACCCAGCCGTCAATCTCGCAAACCAGCACCTCCATCAGTGCCCCCCCTAGCACCCGGCAGTCAATCTCGCAAAGCGGCACCTCCACCTGCACTCCAAACTGCATGCCCCCTAGCGCCCGGCCGTCAAGCTCGCAAAACAGCACCTCCACCAGCACCCCAAACTCCATTGCCCCCAGCACCCGGCCCTCAATCTCGCAAATCCCTTTCCTTTCTTTATTAGAAGTTAGAACCCCCATAGCTTTCAGCTGTCTGGGGAACAAGACTCCTGGATGGCCAAGTACAGGCGGCTTGGTGAGCTCCAAACTCAAAGGCAGATTGGATCGGGAAGCCATGTCCTAAAGTCCATAGTGAACCAACGGGACCTTCCTGGGCAACGCAGTCTGCCATGACAAAATCCACATCGCACTGGCTATGGGTGCAGCTCTATGGGATGGACCACAAATGAACTGGTGCAGGGATTTGTCCACGCTAGTGATCCAGGCTGGCTTTGTGCATGGTTGGAGCAGGTCCTTTGCTTCGGCACCCAAGCAATTGACCTGCATTTAGCAAAGTGGCATGTTACTGGGATCCTCAAAGTTGCCCTCGGAATGCTGGTTCAAAACGAAACAACCGGCAATACTAACTTTGAGAACCCCTCAGTATTTTTTGTTTTAACAGGCCCGGTGATATGAAAAGATATGTTCCGACAAATATCGCCAACTAAGTTGCGACTAAGGCAGTGACAACATGTCCATTCGTCCGTTGGCGGCAGCCCAATGGATCGCTTGACCTCTGGCATTTCGAGACTTGGGAAGGCATGCGCATGACACATGCCTCGATTCTGGTCCATGCTCCTGAAGGGTCCTAGTAATCAAGCAAGTAAGGAAACTGGATTGTCCTAGATACGCCCTACTGTCGTGTCTTGGGCACTTCAGCACGGCCACTCTTTTCCGTAGATCTTTGAATCCACCCATCTCTCAATAAGCCAACTGAAAGCTGACGCCACTCAAGCACCAGCCCGCTAGTCGGAAGCTGACTTGGCCGAGCTTCGCCCGGCGAAGGCTCGGAAAGCCGTGCTTAGCACCGCTTTCAGAGCAACAGGCATTAACAGGTAAGGCTCCTCTGTAAGTGTTTACAGATTGGATGAATCTGGGCAAATGACCATAATTCCACAACTGGAGACAAGGGACCCCGGCTCAAAAGGATCTTGACCGTTGACAAAATCGCTTGCTTCACCCCTGTGGAATCGCTGGTTGCCCAGACGAATTGCAGAGCTGATACGATATCTCAGCCCGCCTTTTTCATCTCCTCGTGAAGGAGTCTAAAGAGATCTGCGCCTGGAATGCTTTTGAGCTGAAGCCTTAAGGGCTTCATAAGAAGATGGCCGGGGGTTTCTGGTGCTTATGGCCTTACGAATCGAGATGCAAAGTAGCATTCTTGCTTGAGCAACTGATTTGGGAGAATCCCGGCTAAATCGGTGGCTCCATTTGTTTCCCCTTCCCGTTTGAAAAAGCCCCATGATCTCCAGAAGGACAAACCAACATGTGCTGACACTCCGTTTATTGATAGAGGCCCAGAACACTTCATGAATGCCTTCCGCAATGCAAGCCAAGCCTGCACATACTTACATTTGAGTTGCGGTATGCAAGTAGACACACACACACACACACACACACGCGCACGCACACGCACACGCACACGCACACGCACACGCGCACGCGCACGCGCACGCGCACGCGCACGCGCACGCGCACGCGCACGCACACGCACACGCACACGCACACGCACACGCACACGCACACGCACACGCACACCCGAACACCCACACACCCACACACACACACACACCCACACACACACACACCCACACGCACGCACCCACACACACACACACACGCACACGCACACGCACACGCACACGCACACGCACACGCACACGCACACGCACACGCACACGCACACGCACACGCACACGCACACGCACACGCACACGCACACGCACACGCACACGCACACGCACACGCACACACGCACACGCACACACGCACACGCACACGCACACGCACACGCACACGCACACGCACACGCACACGCACACGCACACGCACACGCACACGCACACGCACACGCACACGCACACCCACACACACACACACACACCACACACACCACACACACACACACACACACACACACACGGACACGGACACGCGGGCGCACACGCAGACGCGCACGCGCACACGCACACGCACACGCACACACGCACACACGCACACACGCACACCCGCACACCCGCACACCCGCGCACCCGCACGCCTCAAGTATGTGTGGCTCAACACACTGAGCTTCCGCGAAGCTTGTTTCAAAACAGCTTCCGCGTACAAAAGTTTGCAAAATATAGAGGCATCTTGCATAGCCGCCTGGTTTTTGACCCTCTCTTTCGCACGTTGTTGCTGCTGTTGTTGCCGCTGGCAAAGTTTGTTCGCTGGCGAGAATTCCCTACGCCAGTGGGCAGCGATGCGTTTTTGCCCTGAGCCAATGGAAAGCGCAGCGCTGCGTCCTTGGAGGTTGAGAAGCTGCCGCTTGCCGAAGACCAGTTGGTGCCTTCATCTTTCAAGCCCCTTCAGGCTTCTGCAGAAATCCGCGATCGGGATTATCGGGATTGGGTGGTTAAGTCTCCGTGCCTCAGTTTGTTCATTCCACAAACGCCCTTGATCGTTGGCACCATTGCTAGTCGCCTATCGAAACAACTGCGGTGTCAGCACAAATAAACATACGCTGTAAACGTAAACCCTTCCGTGAGCTTCGGTGCACAAAGTCTGCAAAGCTTCCGCGGCCTTCCGCAACTGTAGCGCTGCGTGCAGTTCCAAAGAATAATTTCCGTAGCAAAAAATGGAAACTCAAAGGGGAATTCCCCAGCTTGATTCTCATAAGCAGGTATTCCTAAAGAATCTCTTCATGGAGCGTTTCTGTCCACCCCTTTTTGTTGGGCTCTTCAAAATAGAAACCAAAATCAAGCCACCCACTTCTGGGGCCATAAAAACGGCGTGCTGCTGAGGGTGCCTGCTGAATGGGCTCAACCCGGAAGGCTTCCCCTGAAAGGTTCCGGGGAGTCCATGCTGCAGGTTGCAGCTTTTTCTGCACATTCTACGACAATTCCAAAACCTCAACACCTCAAATAAAAAATTGGATCCGCAAGTAAAGGACCTACATTATGGTGAGTTATTTCTACCCCCGAGTTGAGCAAAGTAGGCAGAACAAGTAGGCAGAACAGTTTCCCAGCTCTCTCCCTACTCCATGGTACCAAGCGCACGCATCCTACTCAAAAAACAGATCCTACCCTCCCTCAACATGAAAGCCGACAAGAGGGTTATGGAAGACTACTTTCCTTTTGCAGAAGCCCCCCAACTTTCATGACTCTTGGAAAGAAAGTAGACTTTTCACCTTCTCAAGGAACACCACAAGAAAGCCCCTAATCTTTTAGGGCACACCCCATCTTGACACATACCCACTGAAGGCTTTAACAAGTTCCGCTTCTTCGCGGCCAACCGCGCCAAGATCCGCGGCTCACGTCTCGCCGTCTCGCCTCGTGCTGCATGGCCACGGCAGAGCTGCACGCACCGCGCTTCCGTGCACCGCACCTGGCGCCGGCGCTAGCTCAATCGCTTGGCTCAGGTGGTGGTTTGGTTTGGTGGTTTGGACGTTAGGGGCCACCTTCCCCACTCGGCTTCAGAAGGAACTGGTGGTTGAGTCCCAATCCAATCCAAACCACTAAGTAAAGGACACCAGAAACTAAATCAATGGGTGCTCAACCATAGGGGTCTGGTAAATTGAAAAGTGCCTAAAACCTGCGGCCCATATCCTGGCCCGGGCAGAAAATTGAGCCACCCCGAACTGACCAAAGAAACCAGTAATCATGACTGGCACATGACCTAAGGACCAAACCTCAGTTGAACTCCTTCCAGCAAGCTCAAAACTGCCTAGTACCAAACCTTCAGCAACAAGGGCAGTTGCACCAAAGGCAACAACTCTAAAGCCGCTTCCCCATGTATGGGTGGATTTCTCGTCTATTTGTTGTTCCTTTTGGTTTCCTTAAAACCCACAAACCCGGGGCCTCCGCCCAAAAAAAAACACTGCCAAATGCACCTGTTTGGCAAATGTGATTCGTTCAGGCCGCCAGCTGATACTGAAACAATAATGAGACCAAACCAACAGATTCTCTACCGATCCCTTGTATTGGGGGGTAACTCACAACAAAGGTCTCATGTGTACACTGCCCCATTCATTTCTCCGGTCAAATGGCAGGTCGTTTTTGAGTTGGTGTGGCTGGCTTACTTGCTTGTCTGGCTTTCTAGAACATACTCGTTACACCAATACTAGACCACACTGAATAAATGTGCAAGTTCAAACAAAAGCAACAGCTGAGAAAATCCCTTTGATTTCCTTGTAGTTCGTTTAATTGCAATGGTTGTCCGTTCACCCACTCACAAACATTGAAATTGCACAGGGGAGTCCTGGTTTGGACCATGTTCCTTCAAAGGGGACCCTCTTTTCTGGATCCAGGTTGATTTTCGTGTTCCACAGGATCTCACAACCCCATCTGGCTTCGTTTTTAAGGTATCAGGCGACCCCAAGAATTGATTTCGGTTTTTTGCTGCATTTCCCATTTTGAAGCCACAACAAAGGGGGGAGGTACAGGGCACCAACTCCAAAACAGCAAAGTCTTCGAGCCACGCATCCGACGAAAAAGGAGCGATCCATCGGCCGTTCGAGCGCCCGGAGCGGATCCCGCCAGCATTTGGCCCGTGAAGTTGGAGGGCAGCTCATCCAGGGCATCCTGAAATCCGGGCCCCAGCTGCTCCAGCCAGCTTCGTACCGCCTGAGACTGCTGTAAAAACCAAAAAAGTCGGGAAGAAGGGTTGACCGGAAAAAGGGGGTCTGGCAAAAAGTGCGCATCTTTGGAGGTTCTCATGGTTTTGGACTTTTCGGGGATGGGAAGCACCTTTTAAGCCACCATTTGGAAAGTATGATTGAGGACGCCTTACTAAAATGGACCCACAAAATGGACCCACATAGAGCCATAACCATAGTCGTGTCAGTTGTTCTTGGGTTTCGTGTAATGGAATTCCCTTGAATGCAGTAGATATCGAAAACATAGTGACTATACTGTTCAACATGGGCTCCAAATAGGACATGGCAGCCTGCGGGAATTGGGTTTTGTTGGTGTCCCTCATTCAACCCCCTAAACAAGAGGCGCCAAAAAAGCTGCGCTCAAGCTGCAGGGGGCAAACATCAACTTGCCGGGTTCGAATGAGTCATGCATGATGCACACCAAATGCTTGGCTTGCAACCTGCCTGCCTGAAAACGCAACATAATATCACCACACGCAACTGAGCCTCTGCCAGCTTAATCAAGCTGAACAGGAATGGCCCAGGAACACATTGGAGCATCAACACTCTGTAGCAGACTTGTACATGCAAATCCGCATGCAACCACACAAACTCACAAACAGAGTAAACCAACTCCTACAAAGGCTTCAGGACTGCCCCTTACAGTCCCTTTCATGTGAGTTGTTTTTGAGTATACCCTTTTCACCTCGGCTCTAAAGGGAAATCGGAAAAAAAGGGGGGAAAAAACAAAATCCATGTTGGGGGTCTAAATGCCTATGCTTGCACATGGGTCAGTGAGTCATTCTTATCCTTTTTGGGTTGGTTTACAGGGAAGCCAAAGGGAAACCATGCCTTTTTTCGTGCCATTCAAACCCAAACCCTCAGTGGCCATGGGGAAAA